GTTTAGGGGTTTAGGGTTTGGGTCCTGTAGCGTCGGCCTTGTGGAAAGGCATTAATGTCTGGTCCCGGTTTCTCTCTGTCCCTACCGCCCTGTCTCTCCCAGCAAATACAGTTATGTAGAATGAACGAGGCTTCCAGCTCCAATAACTCATTGACTAGGGGTTCCTGCATGAGGAGCCCTATGAGAAATCTTCCTGAGGTTCAAGGATTTCGGGGGTCTCTGCGTCGATGGTATACCCGGACCCTCAACCTAAACCTAGTTGGGTACTTGCGTGAGCAAAAAACGCTGAACTCCGTCACGGAAGTAGGAGTTAGGATTAGGATTAGGGGGACCCGTGGGGATNNGAGGGCCACAAGTAGGGTTAAGAAGGGTCCCCTTTAAGGGGTCTCCCTAATACTACCAAGGACGAACGACGGTTTAGCATCCAACAGATTCGGCTTCAGCGGATGTTGGGTCCATGGGGTTTCGAGCGGTGGGCTTATAAGGTTTAGGGTTAGAGGATCGAGGGTGGCAAGGTTTAGGGTTATAGGGTTTAGGGTTTAGGGTTTAGGTTATAGGGTTTAGGGTTGCAAGGTTTAGGGTTATAGGGTTTAGGGATAGAGGATTGAAGGTTACAAGGTTTAGAGTTGTAGGGTTTAGGGCTTTTTCCCTTACAGGGTTTGAGGATTGAGGGTTGCAAGGCTTTGGGCTATTGGGTTTTGAGTCGCACACTCGCACGGGCTAGGTAGGGATTCCGGGCGACAAGTCCGACAATGAGACCATTAGACTACGCAACTGCGGGCGAAGAGCGATAACACACCAACATATTGAGACCAGAAGACTACACGCAACTGCGGGCGAAAAGCGATAGCACACCAACAGATAAATACCCAATACACACTAAACACACTCCATGTAAGAACCTAAGACCATAGACCCGCCTCAACATCCCTCACAAGTTTCACGCAGCAGCCAGAGGAGGCCAACCAAGAGGCACAGGGTGCGACTAAAAACACATGAACTCAACAATACTAAACCATCTAGCAACCTCGGCACCCAGCACAACTGGGAACCCCCGGGATAGACATGCGTTAATTTCCTCGTAATTCGTACCAACCGCAAATTCCTCGCAGCCATAACTCCCAAACTCTCTCACTCTCTCCATGTGGACTTAAAGGGGGACCCTAATTTAGAGAACTACCCATGCAATCCGCCATGTCCGGCAGTTCACCCGAGGCTGAGATCTTCCCGCTGAACTGGGTCATGGCAGAGACCACTTTGGTGATGCCTTCGTTGACGGGCATCCATCCTTCCCAGAGACTCCAATACCCCTTAATTAAGGAATATACTTTAAATCTTCTTAGGGATCCTACTATAATCCAAAGTCTATTCCTTAATTAAGTGGTATTGGAGGCCTCCGATGAGGCCCGGACTCTCTTGTAGGGTTTAACCTTAACCTACCACAACCTACTTTTTTGTAGGGTCCCTATAAATTCCATATTAGGGTGTACAATAGGAACCTACAAAAAAGTAGGTTTTGGTAGGTTAAGGTAGGGTTTAGGGTTCCTCACCTTTCAACAAAGTGATGTCCTCGCCAAGGGAGGTCTTGGTAGCACGCGAGACGCCCTGCCTCGCGCAGCTTAGCCATGGCGACTTTGACCGCGTCCATTGAGCTCTTCACTGACTCTGTCGAGATCGAATGTGTCACACGTTCCCAAGTAGGCTTATAGGTTTACGGTTATAGGGTTTAGGGTTATAGGATTACAACAGGGTTCAACTAGGGTTAAGGCTTTAGGCATTAGGGTTGCTACTTACTTACGAGCCTTGAGAATTTTCAGCATCATGGTTCAATTGGATCAAGGGTTTCTGGGTTTGCTGCGTGACTTCTCAAGTATCCAGCACGTAGGGTTCGGGGTTGGGTCTAAGTAGACTTCGTTTTCGGGCTTTTGCCTGCTATGCTCTAGACTCTAGGCTACATCGACTGCAGGTGGATATCTCTCGCTTTTCAAGACCTAAACAACCCAAACCAAAACCCTAGGGTTTAGGGCTACCCATAGGCCCCATAGTAGTTCCTTTTCGGGGTTACCGTATAGGATTCTATATATATATATATATATGAACCCCAAAAAGGAACTACTTTAGGGCCTATGGGGTAAACCGTTGTTGTTGTGCGAATCTTGACCTGTAACGGTAGCGGACTTTAGGCCGTGTCCGACGACCCGAGCGCAGC